ATTTGATGTGGTCAAAGTGTTTTGAAAGTGTCAGGACCCAATGTTATCTGATCCAGTCGTGTTCTCAAAATGTCTCTGGGAAACTCTCCTGTAATATAACAAAGCATTAGCAGACCATTACAATTACCTGCCATCCAAACCAGAACTGTCCGTTTGTATGCTGTAATGTGGCCGTTTCACAATAGTGCACCACCAAGAGTTTGCACTGCATCGGCCAATCGCAACATGCGAGTTGACCAATTTCGTGCATTGGCCAATGCACTGCAAACTGTTGGGGGCGCACTACTGTGAAACAGCTGTAGTACACGGCATGTTTAAAATAAGATCCGAAATACATAGGAGACAGAGGCAGGTTTGTGAGACACAAGCCGCAATCACATAACGACCGAAACTTTAATCCCCCAATCCAGACTGAGTTTGGTCTTGGTATCATGCGGTAACATTATCGACTGAAAAAAGAAGTCTTCAGTCTGCTGAATCTAACCAATCACAGCAGCTAATAGTAGTGGTCACAAGTACAATAACAGCAATCTTTAAACAGTGACTACAAAGTTATCGTAATAAAACCCGGACTTCTGGACATTTGAGTTCTCAGTAAAAGGCCCAAGATAAGAAAAACAATTCAATTCTACATTTGTGAAAAGTGCAAGGTTATATAGGGATTTAATGCCGCAGTATAGTCACCTCTGGTTGTAAACTGGGGACACAGGTTCAGAGACTCTGCAGTCTGTCCAAGTCTGGTCTCTGGGAAGGTCAAGTTTCCATCCGGCCACACTTCTTGTGGACAAGACACTGTTAAAATTAATACAAAACACAACATTAGTACATTATCAGAAGGTCTGAGAGACAACTTGAATCAACAGCTCTGTGTTTATTAAATTTAGAGAAAAAAATCTAAACGAAAAATCTTTCCTAGAGCAAGCACAAACCAAAACAACTCCCCTTGCAACAGAACAAAACATTCACACACAAAAATCCCAACTGCTGTATGGGGGCGGAAGTGCTCCATTAGAAAATAGCTAATACTGTTGCAACATCTAAAGGTGAGACAATAACAAACAAATAACAGCAGCTTCAACTTGTCTTACGCAGACCACCAGCCTCCTAAAAAGATCAGTTGAGGATACTGTTTTCCTTCAGCTTAACTTCCGGAATTTAAACTGCTTTTCCAATTTACTTCAATACTACTGCTTTACTGTATCACCCAAGGCAATCAGCTGTTTGTGCACCATTCAACCCACCTAAATTGACCACGTTTGTGCTTCCCGGATCCACCATCAGCTCAGAGGTGTTCTGTCTTTTCAGAATTGCAGAAGTCAACTGGTCCAAGAGCACCGAGTCTGGGATGGGTGTGGTCAAACTGCAGCTCCGTCCCTCGCATGGTCTGAAGTACACCAGAACGTCAGAGATGATGCTGCCATTTTGGAATGCGATGACATCCGGCTTGGCGTCGTATTCTCCTTGCAACTCTCTTTGAAGATCCCTAGCAACAGGATACCACAGCTGTGACAAAAAGGAGGGGGAGGGGCAGAGAATGTGTAAAACACAAACCAGGAGGGAGGTATAATTTAAGCAGGTTATTTGAAACCACCTCTAGCCTATCCCCAATTTTTCTTTTTGCACAAATGATTAGACACAGCTAAGTAGGAGTATCTCTTATCAAAACAAAACATCAAAGTTATTTTGAACAAGTGAGTCTGACGTACGGTAGTCTGGCAAATCTTGCATGATGGCTTTTTTGGAGTATTACATACTCATTCACAACTTTGAGGTCATTCAAAGAAGTCTTTTAAAATTGTGCTTGGTCCTTATTCCTACTGGAGGCCGTTTCTTCTGTTGGACTCTGAAAAGAACTCCAACAATAATGATAGAGCTTGTTTTCACATTATTCAAGATTCAGTGTGTCATATAATCCCAGTCAGTTTGGAGAAATACCAGCACCAACTCAGTTTACGTACTTCTTGTTCAAGCTGTGATCTGAGCTCAAAGAAGGCATTGCTGGTTGCATCAGCCAAGGCGTCCATGTAGGTCCGGTTGAGTAGCTTCGTCCTCACCTTGAAAGTTGTCACTTCTATAGAGTGGAGAGATGAATGGGAATGCACGTCAATTAGGCCCCACATTAGGCCCCTAATAGAAACCGCACTACGATTCCGTTACTAAGCAACCTTTTCATAGCAAACAGTACAAAGAAGGCCATCCAATGATGGAATCTTGAAGAAGCGATTGTTGATATGGATCAAGTTTCATTGTACCAAGTTTATGTAACGTATATATAAATACAGCATTTAAACTATGTTTGGTTTGAAACAAACTTATTTTGGTTCTTGCATTAAATCCTACATTTACATTTGTAACATTTGGAAGGCTGGCTTTTCACTGATGTCCAAAGTTTCAGCGCCAAGAATAAGAAAGAAAAGCAAGACCCCTGGATTTTTTCTCTGACCTGTGAGAGTAAAGGTTGCAGGTTCTGTCCGCACTCTCTCATTTTCGTAAGGTCTGCCTGGGATACCCTCACAGACATAGGCACCCTGCTCCCTTGAGGGCAGATTGCCCTCAAACACAAGCTGGTTGCCGGAACGCACGAATGTCTCCCTGGGTCCAGGAGCAGTCTTGTACCATCTATATTCCACGGCGTTCTCGATGAAACAGTCAAGCACTGTGGGTGGGATTGGACTTTCCCCTTCGAACTGGAGGCTCACGTCGGCTGATGAAGGGGACACCACGATCTGTGGACCTTGTTCAACATAACCGGGATTGAAGGAAATCATCAGAGCAGTCACGGTAGAAATCACACATCTGGCATTGATCAACAACATCTATTCAATATCAACAAGTGATATATTATCTCTTAGCAACTGCTCAAGAAACAACTTGGGAGATTGAACAAATATGAACTACAATCCAATTGTTATAAATTTTCCGAAAATGTTTTCAAAGTTGCATTTTATTCAGTGCCATGGTAGAAAAGTCCTCCACAAAATTCACAGGGAACTTTCCCTGGTCAAAGTGTGCCAAAAGCAACTTCTGGGAAAACCAACTCGCACATGCAGTCGATGAGGATTGTAAACCTATGTCGTGCATGCAGGCAAGCTACGCAAACCGATGAACCACAGCCGCCAAAGATGGGTGAAAATAGCAAACATGCGAGTCTTCTCTGAATGGTTTGACTTACTTGCCACTGAAGCCCCCCTGCACACTCTATAGGCTTCATGGAGTGCCACGTTGCTGCGATCAGTGTTGCAGCCTGCCTCACTGTATCGCCGCAGCGCATCTGACCAGCTGCTGACTAGACGGTCAGTGCAGACAGGCTGGGTGGAGTTGGAACAGTTAAGAGCAACTGCATGCGGCCGATGGCTGAGCTCCTCTGTAATCGGTACCCCTAAAAATGGCTGATCGGGGAAGGAGATGGATACGGCCCAACCAAAGCTGGTGTTGGCCCGGAGAGGGGGAATCAAGTCAAATCTCAGGGTGATGTTAGGATCGGGGGACACATACATTGGCCCATACTGCCTTATATACGATTCGAAACTTTCTATGCGGGCCCCTCTTCGTCTGCGTTGGGGTATCGCGTGGTCTGGCCGCATTCTTAAAATGATAGGTACAAATGCCGGTGCAGCGTCCCCTTGCGGGCTTTGGAGCATTCGGTGTAGCACTAATGAAGACACTGTGATCTGGTAAATGAATACATCTGTTGGCCAACGGTTGAATATATACGTGTTGCCAAAAGCACCGGTATCCCTGGAACTTGAAATGGAAAAGCAACCCGAGTCATCCGTCGAGTACATGCCCAGCTCTTCTGATAGACTCTTGCAGTTTCCAGCTGCAAATGAAAACAACCATTTGCCGGTCTTCATTTTGATAAGGAAGTGACACTGATAAGGTGGGGCTTGGCATTTGGCAATAGTTGGAGAAAAAAGTAAATCTGAACACTTGAACCTGTTGGCACACAAAGCCAAGCAGTTGAAAAAAAAAAGAGAATAAAGGATTAAAGTGGGATTGATTACAGAGCATGCAAGTAAAAACAGCCAAAATATGTCAGAGTAGCATGGAAGCAGCTTAACCACTGTTGCTCAAATGACATATTGGCCCATCCTTACAAGGAAAAAGCCTTACTTGTTTGTGACACAGTCGTGGTATTCCTTTGAATGACGGCTCGCTCCGTGGAACCATCCAGAACACATTTGAACCTTTGTAGAAAGAAAAGGGGCACGAAGATGACAGGATGGTTTTGGCTTTAAAATCTGGGGGGGGGGGATGGAACAGATAACAGTAGCCAGACTGCACCCAAAATACACAATAGTCCATCTGCAGTTTTGCAGAAACTTGCAGGAAACAGCAAGGCGAGTGTTCTCCATTTTCTCACATATGTCACACACCTCATCAACACAACTCTGGAAGGTAATTGGGGGAGGAGCAGCCTGAAAACCAAATCAGGAGAATGGAGCCAAGTCGAATTTGCGAGGAGATTCCAAGGTGAGTCTTGAGACATGGAGAACCGTACCTTTGGGGTGAATTAGTCACAGTCACCCAAACTGTGGCGACGCCTCTTCCAGTGGCAAGAGCATCATTTCCTTCAAGCCCGTCATCAGTAAACCACTGGACTCTGGGTGGAACCAGTCCAGACTTTCCTGAGCACACAAGCAGAACTCGCTCTCCTTCATCTGCTGTCTGGTCTGGACTGATGAACTTGAACTGCGCCGGAGCTGGACACGGAACAAGATGTACTAGTCTGAGATCAAGGGACCCTCTCAAAGATAACGAGAAGTTGCTTTGTCAAAACCCAAAATAAAAAAACTGCATTCAAAGAATCATGCTTTGAAGGTACTTTGACACAGCTGACGACACATTGTTGTGACACAGATATTTCTCTGGGCTTCTATCTGTCAGTCTCTCAAGCAAAAAGGACACAAAATGTAAATTTATGCAAACCTTTTGGAGGAGAATATTTCAAAATAAAAAGTCTCAAGAATACTCATCATTTCAACTAAAAAAGCATTGTGAAATTTCGACTACCATGATCATATCATTACGGCATTTGTTGAGCAAGCAAATATTATCAACAGAAAAGTCCCAAAAACCCCGGTGTTGAAAAGTTGAGGCCATCCTTTTTAATAGCATCAATCTACTGGACTTACGCAAACAGGGTTTAATAATTTCTTCTATGGCTTTGTAGTGATCTTCCATATCGCATACGTCAAATCTTGGGAGTGGTGAAGGTGTGGGCCCCGCTGGTGTCCTTATTCCTCTCCATGCCTTGAATTCTTGTAAACACCGGTCCTCTCCACAATCGGCAGCAGGCGTCCTGTACTGCACCGACAGACAGTCTGTGCACGTGCTCTGGATGGGCAATGGCCTGTAGCAGCGATTGAGGTTGTAGGCGTAACTCACCCTGACTGACACAATCTCGCCAGGCCTGACGGCCAGGGGAATCCTGAGGCTGACTTCGGTGGTGTCCGGAGTTGTCAATCCAGGGTAGACCTGCCAGAATCATTTCTAAAACATTATTTCAATTTCCCCATAGTCAGCAGGCTTAAAATCATTTTTTCTACAAAAGCTGACATCTGACGAAAAGTCTTCTATCTTTTTAGTGGGGGGGGGGCAAGGACTCAAACATTAAGGATGATTTTGAGTGGCATTTTAGATTTCTTTTTTTTCCAAACAATGCAAAAAATAAATAAATATGATGCTTCAAACAATACACCACAAACATTAATGACTTAGGACGGTAGGTAATGTTTAACCTGGCCATTTTGAAAAATATCAGAATACCACTTACTGAGAGACTTTTGAATGTATTATTAGAAAGTTTTTCACTTGAACACTTTAGAAAACAACTCTATTTAATTGTCATAGAAACAGACCCAAAATGACTAAAATAATGTGAGTTTAATGTGAAATTAATTTGAAGAACTTTGTGTATATTTCCTGCCTTCCTTGTTCCCATGAAGTACATTGATATCCAGTAAATATCAATGCGAAGTCTTTTTTGACTGCGTTATTGGCATACGGGAATGTAGAATTAAGAATTCTGTTCAAGTGGCTTCACAATCATCATTGCTTTTATGCCAATGAAAACACTGGGAATATATTTATATAATGCACATGTCAAGGTTCTGGATCGATGCCTTGTTCAGAAGGTCTTCACTGCTGTCAAGGTATCCTTTCTCGTCACTTTCATCACCAAAGACCTCTTTTGACAAGGAGCACCATGTATTACTTCAATGGCATTCGAAGTCATTAACACATTGAATGCCGACTACTCGTAGTCAGAGATGTAAATGAAAGGCTTTTGATTTGTAAATTGAATACACTGGCATCATTGAAGAACACAATAAATACGCTGCTGGCAGTGTGGAGGGTGTACATCTGTAAAATGTTCCTGCTCAAACAGACACCTGGAAGGTGCCTATCAAATATACGCGCATGGGCAGAACACTGTGCAAATGGGCAAATGGGAATGCCTTGTAAAATTATGCACGAGGCAGGCAACATGTTAACGAGGGGCACAAAGCATGAGCAGGAAACAACAGAGATCGGGCATCTTTTTCACTTCACCTCCAAATGCAGTATTTAAGTTACAAAAACAAACTCCACCATTGGGCAGTGTAAAGCTACAAAATGACACCTAACATGAGTCAAAAGAGAGCAACAAAAAGCACATAAAATATGCTGAAATTTCACTCAGGGCTTAGAAGAAGGGGACATGAAACACTTTGCCTGAGCATGCCCCCATTTGGAAACTAGGATCACACTGATGCTGGCTGACACTGCATTAACACTATGTGGACGATATGTGACAACTGGCTGCCTCATATCGCAAAGGTGGGTTAACTTACCCAAATGGTAGCTTCAGAGTTTGCCGAAGGGGAAGTCAAGTTTACAAACAGGTGGACACCCCTTCGACTCGCAGTTATCTCCGGTGAGTACAACTCGTCAAATCCGCCCCATGCAACTCGCACCTGGTGGGTTCAAGCAGTGTTAATTCTGCATCACTAGAAGTCTAAAAGAGTACTTCCTGCCAACTCCTCCCCCCCCCTAAAAAACTCTTCTGAGATTCCATTGGCAAGCCATGTCAAAAGGTCCTGTGGCAGTTGGACACTGTGAGAAGGTTTTGAGATGAGACACTAGAATGAAAACTGCTGGCTTTTCTAATACAGANCCTTAGTGATTTGGGACAATTCTCCTCTAAGGGTGATAAGTTTTCTGAACTGTTTTCTGATCAACTTTCTTGCCACGGCAGCATTAGACATAGCCGCCACATTTTGAAATGACATCACCCGAGTAAACCAGTTCAGTGGGTGAGTTACTTTTTTTGACCACGCTTGGTCGAGTAATTTGAAGTACAAGGGAAGTGACGACATGCAAATACAGTAACAAATTAAACTTTAAAGTGTCAACAGAAGTAGAAACCATTAAGTGGAACGGTTCTAAAGGGACAATACAACTTTGTATACAAATTTCAACAAGTGACATTTCTTGATAATCTTGTCTGTCAACGCAATGGGCGTAGAAGGGTGCCGTTTAAGAAATCTTTGAACTGACATGGTGGTCACATAATGTTGTCTAAAGTGGATGGGGTGGGGGTGACATGGTGGGTACGGGGGTTTGGCAGTGGAAGAGACAAAAGAAACTCACGGCAGTCAGATGAATGGGGTCCTGGTTGATTGATGGCACCTCAAATTGAGACATGAGACCTTCATTGCCTTCTGGGTCATCGGTTTCCATGGCGCCAGCCCACTCTTGAGACGTGCAAGTATCCAGAAAGGATGCAGTACAAGGGGCTGCTCACATTGGATTTGAAAAAATAAAATGTAAAAGCACTGAATCTAAGCCATTTGAGATAGAGGCAATCCAGTAAACAAGTAGATTTGTTAAGCCTTTGTTTTACTATGAACTGTGAATTCAGAGTCACACTGGAGAGCTTTGTCAGCTCATGCGAGTATCGAGTTCAAGTTACAAATTAGACACAATCTTGTACTGTACATAGAGAAATTTCACTGGTGATTTCACTTGGTGTTCATGGGAGGAACATGTCTCTTGTTAAAGGCAGTGCTTACACCGTTCTGCAGAGGACACCCAAAGTTTTCTTTTTCGGCATAACTACTGTGAAACAAAATGTTGAGGACGCTGCCCTTGCTCAAAATGAGACTGCTTTATTCTGCTCCTACCTTGGCAGCGTTCTTCAGGGTACACTAGTCTTTCATAGAAAGACATTTCACTGCCTTCATCAGTGTCGCAGAGGGAAACTTCGCCAATGCAGACACCACCGGAACCCTTTGAACGGCTGTAGCAAAAGGTGTGATCTCCATCAAGGCACACTGAACGTGACAGAGGATAAAAGGAAAAGTGACAGACCACCCACGTGCTTGTAGTTATAGCTGATGACTCAATAAGATAGACTAATCAATGAAATGGGAGTCAGGAAAGAAGCAGCAGGGTTTTGAGACAATTTGGCATCATTTATCTGGCACAAAACCTCACTGGAAGAAGCTGCCGAGGCACCTTGAAAAACAGCACATAATGACTGTTAATGGCACACATCAAATTCAGGCGACTGAGGAGGCACTGAAGATTATGTACAGGGTGACCAAACAGTGGCAGATCACAAGGAAGATGCACCCAGTACACCCCCCCACCACCCACGATATTTTTGATTTTCCTTCAAGAAAGAAACCCTTTTTCAATTCACTACTTTATTTCTGCCTTTTTTGGTAATTGGAATTTGTTTAACTTGATTGAAAATTTGAAACTGCTTATCGCGTCAGTGGGTGTGAGGAAGTCAAAATGATGATTTTGTGCGGTGCAGGGAATACCTTAATCCAATCAAATATTCCCAAATTACATATGAAGTGCTCTTAATCACAGCAACGTATCGACCATAAACTTGAAAAGTGACCAATCTGCGGCAAACTCTTGGTGGTGTGCTGTATTAATCACCCATAATCCATGTCATTACCCTCCAGGAGGCAAACTCCCTCCCGTATATCCGTTGACGAGTAATAAAATGGCCGAACAAGCGTCAGAAGCTATTAAACGGATTTATAAAAGGTCGCCTTTGATATGCCACTGATTGCTAAAAGGATGCCACACTGCATGATATGATAAGTGCTCACTATGCATGCATGCACACTTGGCCTGTACTCACGTGGAATAATGGTTACATTGAATGAGCAGGTCGCAGTGTTTGCTGCGTTATTGACATCAGTGAAGGTGTACACGACTGGGGTGACCCCAATGTCAAAGACACCTTCGGGCTGTTGGGTGAGCCTGGCCTGCGGTCCCTCGGTTCTCAGACTGATCCCCAAGCTGTCGCTAGGTATCCACCTCACAACCTCAACGGACAGGCTGACGCCCTCGACGGGGCAATTTGTCACAATGATGGGTTCAGCTGCAAAGGAAGTGTGAAAAGAAATTGGTGATGGGTGCATGGTTGTGATTAAGTTTGCTTTGAGGGTGATGGAGCTACTTTTGAGGGTAACACCCATTGACAGTGGCACAGCTAAACAAGGGGAGAAAGGGGTACACATGCCCCCTGCAGATATCTTTCTTCTCCCCCTCCCACTGACATTTTAAAATGCACACTACCTAGGTACAAACCAAAGTAAATTGGTTTTAGATGTCCCCTGAAAAAAATGTTCGCATGCACCCACTACCGCTGCCCTATCACCAAGCATTTGAACGATGGATTTTGGTAGTATTCTCCAATTATGTCATCAAAGTAGAAATTGTCAGAAACACGAAATCCCTAAGCTCATCCAGTTGCTGGTTTGGCTTGGTCATCGTAAAAAGATGAAACTCATGTCAGCCACATGTCCACCTTAGCAACACCATGCAGGCGTACAATTCTTAACCGTTTCATTCAAATAACGGCAGAAACAGTAGAGATCCGAACCACAGCACATTGTTTGACTCGTGAGTGATGAGATGTACGTGGGTTTGAGCCCAACGGGCAAAACACCTCAACACTTGTGCCTGTCTCCATCCCCATTAGCATCAACAGGCGCCTAGGACTGGGAGGGTACAGATTAGCTGTTTACCCCTGAAAGCAGAGTGATAATTGTAAAACACAGCTGAGAATTCTTATCACCATTCAGGTAACACAGCTGTCAGACAATGATATCTGGAAACATCTTGAACAAAGGGGTACAGCAATGACAAACAGCATAAAAACCAGTCTTACAGATCCAACATACGTGTAGTACATACAGAAACCAAAAAAAAACAACCCCACACAAGCCACAACGATGGACCTGCTATATAGTGTTGTTGAGGCACAGGAAATTTTGTCATGTTTTAAAGAAGACTTAATAGCAAAGGAAAGCCACCTTTGATGTGAAAAGAGGCAACTTCAATCTCATATAAGATCATATCCCTAGGTTTTCCGGGTTTCAGATTGCACAGGGGTCCGGACAGTCATGCACGGTAACATGACTACCTGATTTCCTAAACGTTTATTGGCATCAGGAAATCCTTCAAAGCGACAAACATCCTGTGGTATGGCAAATCTCAGGGTCAATAGCATCTGGTTGAATTTTCATGTGCAAATTGGGCAGATAATGGAAACTCAGGGGAACAGTGTGTGTTTTGAAGTCATTGTTTCATCTTCCTAATGCAGCTGTCTGCTCAAAATTCAAAGTCTTCCAAACAAGACTCCTTGGCCTCCAGTTTAAAGTGAAAAATCACCAACATCATGCCTGTTCATATAGTTTTAACAGAATGTTCCTGTCTTGGGTCTTTAGAGCTAAAGCTGCCAATAAAAGACCTAGCGCCTTTGCCAGGCTGCATAAACATGGACAACAAAAGGCATCACTGTACTGTAGCCCTCAAAAGTCAGTTACAAACAAAGCCCACCAGTGCCATCTGAATGCATCCCTGCAGATCCTACAAAAACAAGTTAACTTCTGCTGGTTTTACCTTCCACTGTGACTGCAAATGAACACCCGCCGACATTGCCCGCCTGGTCCTCAAACTCATAGCTGATCATGGTCGTTCCCAAGCGAAACCTCTCGCCGGATCGGTGGCTCTGGTTCCTGAGGCGGACTCCTTCATAGGCGTCAAATGTTTGAGGTTCTTCCCATCGGATGGTCTGTCCGTCCCCTCTCCTGTCAACCACAACTGTCATGTTCATGGGGCAGACTACTGTTGGTGCTACGTTATCTGAACACCCAAAAACGGATATGGCAGGGGGAGAAAAATAAAGTATTGTGAATCAGTGGAAAAATTACATGGCTCAAGAATGAAAATGTCAACAAAGAGATGCCTCACGTCCCAACAAGTATGTTTTTCGGTAAGCACCACAGAGATGCCATTTTGTTTCCAATGGCTCAAGATCTACATCTATAGCCCCCAAGGAAAAAAATATCTAAATGCCAAAAAATTGCTGATCAAACAAAGATCAGCAATCAGAGTTTTGGTCTTTTCTGTGTAACAAAAGTTGTACAACTTTTCACTGTGTTATTATTTCTTCAATGTCAGAATTAAAAAACGCAGAAAATTTAGAAAGATATATGAAAACCAATGAATAAGGTTCAGTCAAAATCAAGCCAGTAGAAATAAACTGGGGTCGACAAATAATTGTACTTAAGAGGGAAATCTTAACAGGATATTTTAAAATCTTTCACTCTGTGGATGAAAATATTATTCGGGAACAGAATAACACAGTGGTGCAGTTGGTCACAGCAAAACATTATCACAAAATACTTTCCTTTTTTTTGTCATAACTGACTCACCAAATATGACCATCACTGTGAATTGGCATCTTTCTTGGTTGCTCTCGCCGTCAGTGAACAGATAAAGCACGGTTGTATTACCGACTGGGAAGACATCACCGGGGTCATGTGTGCTGCTGACAGTGGTTAAAGTATCCAATACTGATGGTGGTACCCATTCCACAGGCCTTCCACCAAGGGATGTGAATGTCTGAATGTCCGAAGGGCAGTCTTGGATTTGGAAACCTGCAAACAAAGGCAATCAAGACATCAACTAAAATAGTGCAGACATGCATGTAGCCATCGTTTGGCAAGCACAAGGGTTTATCCACTATCAATGCAGGGCGAGGGTTCCCCTTGTTTTCTGTTTTCTCTGAATGACGCAATCTACATTCAGAATTTGAATCTTGGCATGAACAGAAAAAAACCTTTTAAGCTTGTTATAGTTGAGCTCTGAAGACAAATAACACTGCGTTCTGTATGGATGCTTCCATATTTATTTGAACAGATAAAACCAGAGAAAACATGTTTTCCTTAGAGGTGCTCTTTAACTGTTGCTGGACTCATTGGTACCTTCCACAGTGACTGCAAAAGTACAGCCGCCGATGTTGCCTGCCTGGTCCTCAAACTCATAGCTGATCATGGTCGTTCCAAAGGGGAACCTCGCGCCGGATCGGTGGCTCTGATTCCTGAGGCGGACTCCTTCATAGGCGTCAAATGTTTGAGGTTCTTCCCATCGGATGCTCTGTCTGTCTTCGCCCCTATCAGCCTTTGCAGTGATGTTCATAGGGCAGACTACTGTTGGAGGCACGTCATCTGAACAGCCACAAATGGATGGAGTGAGGAGAATTAAAGTATTGCACTTCCATTTAAAGAGAATATTGCTCAAGAATGCATGTCAGTTACGTCAAACAAACAACAAATCTGCCCCATCTCAACAATATCATATTTTGTTTCTAAGAAAGCACCACAGAGAAGCTGTTTTTTTTTTAAAGATTTACAGGTATGTGGGGGAAAAATCAAAAATCTAAATTCCAACAATCTGATCGAGTAAATATGAGCATTTGGGATTTTACATATTTCTCAGAGATAAAAGGTTTAACATATTGACAGTGTAATTAATTTCTATAAATGTTAAAATTACAGACAAAGAGTTGAAAAGTTTAAAAGTATAACATCACAACCAAATAAAAACATGGAATAAGTTGCTTTGTGTCTTCCTGAAAATCAAGATACAAAGAGGTAAATCTGGGTAGACAACTGCAATTAATATAGGAATCTGAGCAGAATCTTTCAGAACTTTTTGATTCTGTGGCATTTCAAATCTTATGTGGCAACAAACAAGGAAGAGGACAGGTGGTCACAGCACAAAATGACACAAACTACTTTATTTTGTTTTGTCGTTTACTCACCAAATATGACCATCACTGTGAATTCACATATTTTGAAGTTCTCCACATTGTTGAAGAACAGATAAGACACAGTTGTATTACCGACTGGGAAGATGTCACCGGGCCTATGTAGGGTGATGTTGCTGATTGAAGCATCTGACACTGACGGTGGTATCCATACCACAGGTGTTTCATTAAAGGATGTGAACGTCTGAATGTCCTCAGGGCAGCCTTGGATTTGGAAATCTGCAAAACAGTACAAATCAAGACACCAACTAAAATGTTACGGATAAAGTCTTTCCTTTTGGGGCTCTTCTATGAGCTTTTTTTTAACGTTTTTTTCACGGTGGAATTTAATTAAACTTACACTGATCTTAATTAATCTTACACCAAGAAGAGGCCTTGTATTATGATGTCATAATAACATCATAAGTCACATGACAAGTTGTTATATATGTAGCTCAATTCTTTGAAGGTCAATATCTCTCAAGGTATGTGTCCGATTAATAAGTTACTTTGGATTCATCTTTCGTTGTACAAATTCTAAAGAAATATTGACATGCTACCGGGATGACACCATTCCTTAATATTTTTTATGAATTGTTTATTTTTCTGAATTTATTCTGCTTGTTGATATATTTCCTAACCAAAACAAGGTATTCTTAAAGTTCTTTTTGCAAGACCTTTGAGAGACAAATTAAGTGCGCAGTTTCGTTGGAAAGTTTGTTGTGACATCAAGATGATATCATCAAAAAAGCAAATTTCTACTTTGCATATTAGAGATTTGCATATTAGAAAGTCAAATTGGCGTAGTAGTTCTTTCCTCGCCTTCCACCTCTGCAGTCCTGGTTCAAATCCTAGACCAGTGAATGTGAGCATTGGGTGTTCAGTCCCTGCTTGATTTTGTGGGTTTGGCCCAGATTCCTCCTCT